GGCTTTGCGAAGTGCTGGCCATGGTAGGCACGTAGATTGCTTGAGCTCCGACTCTGGTCCAATGGTAGATTTCCACACCCTGTCAAGCTGTATACTCTCCAAGCACCTTGCCCCCTCGACTGAAATATGTCAAAAGGTATTTTAATTCTCAACAGACTATTTTGATGGTGAGTCCCTTGGAAACAGCAGTAAAGTCTCCATCATGCTGCTGTCTCAGGCGGAGAGGCTAGAGTGGCATTACGTACGCGCACGGGCCGAAAATGGCAGGCGGAACAGTATCTCTATGCACAAGTAAGAATGAACCAATCCACCCTTCCCAACAGTAGTACTAATAATTCATACTAATATGTCTTAGACTAGGTGGTGATTTATCAGAGGTTGTATACTTCAGCTGGTGCTGATACGTGTGCACGTGGACCTAAGCTTGAATCAGTTCGACACAATGTGACCAGTCGATCATCAATCACCGATTGTCCGATGTGATCTAGAAGTGATTATGGAGATCAAATATTTACAGGCACAGATCTCCAATGCTATAGGAAACAGAAAAGACCCCGTATAATATACATGTTAGTGTTGCAATATTAGTGTTGCAATGCCGACCCCTGTATATGCATGCAAGATGCCAGACCAAGAGGGAATATAGTAATGAGATGATGTTTATACAAAGTCCAAGAGGCTTCTGAACAGCCCGACCATAAGCTCGCATATGGATAGGAAGCTTAGTCGGCCTCATCAGCGGCTTCATCAGCCTTCTGTTTAGGGTCATGCTTCTCCTGGAATGCCATGACCTGTTCGAGGGTTGGATACACTCGAGCGTATTCGAACTTTCGGACCATATCAGCGTCCGAGTATTCGCGGAGTTTCTGCGACTCTTGCTCGAATTTATCACGGTCCGATTTGGAAAGTAAGGACGCATTTTGGGGCTTGAGGATCTCGTCAATCAGACCTCGGGTGCGATCCATCACCTTGCGAGCGGTCGCACCAGAAACTGTATCGCCCGCTGCCGCCCACTGACGCTCCCGCCGTGACATAAATGAAGCCTTTCCATTCTTCATAGCCTCATGAAGCTTGTCAATTTGAGGACGCAGGTTCTCCAAAGCAACTCTCTGCAAGCTCAGCTGTAATCTCCGACCCATGATGTCGAGGCTGTCCGAAGGCTTTCGCCCAGCCTTCAGACCATTCAATGATACGAGATGCTGTGGATTGTCCTGTAGTACTTGCACGAGGTTAAGATATTTGTCAAGCGCCCGGGGGTGGGGAAGGACCATGGACTTGTCCATCAATCCCAATAGTTCGTTGGCATTTTTGAGAACGTTGAGATTCCTGCGATCGCGAAGACAACAGCTAAACGCGATGTGGAACGTTTTCCAATTTGGCTCGGTCACCTGGTCGCGCACAACCTCGACCGTAGCATGACTAGCGCGATACTGTCTTAGTAGTCGTAAGTATGCATGCGACGAAGGCATGTCTGGTTTGATGGTATACTCATGATCCCCTAGCGTTAGAAGCTTCCAGTAAGCTTTTCCAGCACTAAGACCCTGAGTCATGGTATAACAAGCTTCGATGAGCACGGTGAGCTCCTCGTTACCTGGAACAACGTAGGACGGACCAATGGTGCCTTTCTTCATTTTCGAAGCAGAATCAGTAGACACCACTGGGTCAAAAAGATTTTCAAATTCCTCATCCTCTTCCTCTTCCTCTTTTTGCTCAGTCTTTTCTTCGGGTTCTTCCATTTCGGTCTGTGCTAGTTTGTATGGTCGGTTGCCTTCGTCTACAAAGGGAACGTCTTCCATCTCCTTATTCTCTGCGGGTCGGCTCTTTTGACGTCTGACCATCTCAGACTCCCGCTGGTGCTCAGGTGAAGGCTTCTTTGCCAGGATGGGGAGCCCAGTAGTTTGATTCAAGAGCGCGAAGACATCGTAACAATCGCGCTCGCTGCCGCCTTCAAGCAAGAGGAGGGCCATTGTACGCACGAGTTGGATGTCTAAGTTGAGTTGACTTCTGCTCCACCGGTAGACAACATCAGACCAGATTCGTTTGCCTTCCCTGACGCCCTGAGCCTTTCGTTCCAAGATGCGATCAATCTCAGACATCTTCTTCACATCAGAGCTAATGGCGTCTTTGATGGCTCTCAATATAAGGGTGTATGTCACAGCATCGGGCGAGCATGGCCCATCCTCGGGTAGCTCACTCGCAATCTCCCATAGTGTATCTGTATGTCCATGGCGAACACATACGGTGAGCATGGCGTTGCTGTGGATGATAGAGGGCTTGGCTGCAGAGTTAAGCTCATAGATAGATCTGTAAATTGACAAAGCAGTTTTCACGGGGTTCAATCCTATGTGCACGGAACTTGGCACTGTGGCAAGACCATACAACATAATCGTATAAGTCCAGGAAGTAGGCTTTCGTCCACGCTTCTTCATCTGCGAGTTCGCGGAGAGACGACAGTCAGCGATCGTGCAAGAAGAGAACTTATGAAGGGGAAAAAAACAGTACTCACTTCATTGTACAGACTCCATGCCGCTTTGGGTTGCTTCTTCTCCATACAGTATTCCAGTAAGTGATTCCACCCCACTGAGCATTCCATATTCTCCTTCTGCGCCCCGCGAACAATCGCCACCGCGAGAGGAAAATCGTCGGCTTTCAAGATTTTGGCGACTCGGTCCGCCAGCGCCTTAGGATCCTGCAACCACTTCAACTCCTTCTTTACCACCTTCTTCCTGATTATGTCCGCTAAGGGACCACCATCGGGATGCGCCCCGCCGCTGGCAATCTCCAACAGCACATGGTCCTGGTAGCGTTTTCTCCGACCCCAGCTCGGTTTGTGTTGTGACTCGTCGTCCTCAAAATTCGCTGTTGAATCAGCAGCACTTTGCTCTTCCGCAGCGGCCAACCCCGAAGTCTCTGTCGAGTACCACTTCACGCCGGAAATTGACCCCCAGGCCACAGATTGCCCCACAACTGGACCTCTCTGTGCGGGGCGCGCAAGAGGAGCAGTATATAGGATGCTCTGGGAGGCTTGAGTGGATCGTGAGACCGGCAGACTTCTCAATCCGACAGTGTGCTGGACACTGGTCCGAAGCGCAGCGCCATTGGTACAGCGAAGCATTTAGGGCCTTCAAGTCTTCACTCTACCGTATGTCCTCAACCACTAACACCTGATTCTCTAAAGACCCCTTTGTAGCGTCCAAAAGTTCGACCCGGCGTAGTCGAATAAGCAACCGTCAACTCCCAATGTCGAAGCTGGACCGGCAGAGCAAGAAGATTCAAACGACCMGCTATTCGTATTTTCGCAAGAACAGTGATCAACAAAAATTATTAAGGAAGAGAAGATAAAGACGTTGGACAGAATAACACCCTTGAGCGGCCACCAGAAGAAATCATACAGACCAGGCCCAAAAAGGCGCCTTATCGCTGCTATCCGAGCTAGACAATAAAAGGTTAGCGCACTGCGATTGCTGCGCTTGTGCGGGGGAACATAATTCCGTTCGGATTATCTTGCTTCAGAGTCACGAAAACTGCACTAGCCACACTACAAAGCCACATGTTGCACAGCTTCGCCACTCTGCTATGCTGTTGGTTCAGCCTTATGAGACCACGGGCTCATGCTTACTGTTAGCCTCCCTCGGTAGTCCCGTTTCTTAGTCCCGTACATGCTTCAGGATCGACTAATCGTTGCATTTATTATTTACGGCTAGGCCACTTAGGATATTAGTCTGTCCTACCTTACCGATTTCTCAGAAAAGTGGGAACCTTCCGCTTGAAGGTTAAGAGGGATAAGCAGCGACGAACTGGGGTTCGACTTAAAATGACATAGAATTGCAACGGCAACAGTCTCATTTAGTAAAAAGCACGATTGAATCGAGCAGCCCAGGGAAACCTCAAATCATAGTCAAGGCACATGACAATGTCTTACTCTATACCTCTCTAAAGTGTGGCATGAACCTCTGCTCATATCTTACTCAGCCTCACGAACCCTCCTGGTACTTCAACCCGTTCATGCACAGTGCTTCCCCGTACCTGTGTCATTCATAGGGGTTGCGAGGTCGACCCCAACTCTTGACCTCCAAGTGATGTTGCCGAGGAATATTATTAATCTACGACGAAACCGCATTTAAATCTTTTTGACATCATCATTTGAGCTATCAAGCTTCGAATCTGCACCACATCACGTGTCTCAAATGTCAGAGGCCCAACGAGGCGGCAGTTGCCACCAGGAACAAAGAGCAGAATAATCAAGATCGAATTGTAAGACTTCAGCCACCAGACAGGGTCATGACTGCGTGGAAGGTCCACTGAGCAAAGGACATAATGCACAAGTTCAAACCAACCCAGGGTAACGAGGAAAGAAAAACATCAGTCAGGACAAAGGAAAGAAAAAAGTACAATGCGAAGTGAAGCAGAGTATCAATGAAAGGGGCTCGATAAAAAGATGCCGGCATGTATCACAGGAGAACGCTCAGCTCATGCAAAGTGCCTCGCCAGGAGTCCAAAATCACAACAGTCCTGGAGCCAGTCTTTGCAAGGACGAGGGCATGTTGTCTTTTGAGTGCAAAGGGGTAGGTTTTGTCTTCTCTTTTCATGTCAAGCGATCTAATTCAAAAACAACAACAACGGGAACAGAGCGTAAGTCGCAAGGCCGCTCTTCGAGAATAACGAATTAAGGCCAGATGGTATCATGTGCGCGAGACTTAAAGAATTAGATCCGCGATGGCGACACGGGATTAGGGAGATAAGAGATATTAGAATATGCAACCTGAGAGAACACAGGAATGATGGGCATCTATTGTGGGTAGCTGGCCGATTGGTTTTCTGTGAGAAGCCATCGTCGATCAGCTATTGTCCCTAGAGCAATAGATCCAAGGACCTCGTTGAAACGTCTTTTCCATCCTGCCTTCCGGCATGTTGACAAGGGATTTTTTTTTTCCTTCTTCTCTTTTTTGTGCATTTCCTCGTGGCTCGGTCCCGACAATGCAATGATAACAAAGGACTGACTACTTACGTTGCTGATACACCTGCCCGCTTTGTCCATACGGGGAGTGAGGGTAGTTTGGAGGATAGGCCATCTGGCCATTACCCTGATACACCATGCCACTGGCACCGCCATACTGCCCCGGTACTTGGCCATCGGCAGGTTGGTAGCCAATTGGCGGCAGCTGAGGGCGGACACCGCCAGCGTAAGCAGGAGGTTGAGCCTGCGCGGGATCGGTAGGACCGGGGGCATCAACCTGGTTCGCCTGAGCAGCTTGAGCGGCGGCAGCACGCTCACGCTCCTCGGCAGCTTTACGCTGGGCCTCTTCCTCCTTCTTTCGAGCTTTCCATTCCTTGCGGATTTCTTTGAATTCTGTGGTAAAGGGCAAATTAGATAATAGAACACAGTAGAGGGTGAGTGAAAAGCGGGCAAATGAAACAAAATGCTCGATGTGAGCATCAAAGTTGAACGGGTATGTAGGATTTAACTCCGCGCCAGTGCCTTGCGCTACTGCGATCCGCAGCGCTAAAGCAGTGTAACTCGACTAGTGTGAGATACCCGCACTAGTCTAATCGAAACCAAAGTCGCTATCAAGGACAGGGCAACTCCGTGACATTGCAGTTGGGATTTAACAAAGAGAGAGAAACGAAGATAGAGGAATATATCGGAAACATACCTTCGGGAGTCCGCTTGGCTCCGTGCGACTGCATGGTAACGTGGGCATTCAGGTGGTTGAGAGTACCGTAAGCCTTTTCGCACCCGTTCCAACCGCACTTGTACATACGTTCGATTTCTTCATAGCGACGTCGGGGTCGTTTGTGCTGTTGTGCCCCAGGAATGGGCACAAAAGAGTAGACCTGCAAAAAAATTCAATGAGCTTTTGAATAACATATTCGGTGCAGATGAAGAGTGCGCCGTGTTCCACAGCCCCGTCAGGCACGCTGGCAGCGGCCTCCAATTTCCGAGGCGTCCAAGACAACAAAAAACGCCGACGCGCAGCCTTTGGAAATAGACGCCAAAATTATCAAAGACATACCTGGCCAGGGCGCGGCCCTGCGGTCGCAGCAGGGGAGGCGGGACCAACCGTTGTAGCAGGAGCGCTATAGGGCCCAGGAAGACCGTGCTGGTGCTGTCCATAACCATGCGACCATTCCGGACGCCCATACATCTGAGGAGGCGGTGGGGGAGGATGACCTTGATACTGGGCCATGTCATGACCTTGAGGCTGATAGGGCGAATATGGAGGAGGATAGGTAGGGCTGGAGGCCGCGATTGAGGGATCTATAGGAACGTCCGCGTCAGACTTCACGTTCGTGTGATTGCGATGGTCATTTTGGTGCCCATCATGGAGGGTGGTCATGGACGGACTTGTTGCTTGAGCCATACCTGCCGCACCACCGGCCTGGGTGTTGGGGGCGTGATGGTATTGAGGTGGGCGAGCGAGGTAGTCCGGATAAGCGGGTGAGCGCGCGGCGGGCGGCTGGTTCAGACCGTAGTCCGACTGCGGTGTGTTGGAGGACGAAATGTTGGCGGCGGCGGCAGAGGCAGGTCTAACCTCGGGTTGAGGCGTGTACTGAGGGGTAGGACGGACCTCTTGCTGAGGCGTGTATTGAGCAGTGGCAGCAGCAGAAGCCTGGTCTGCAGCTGGGAGTTCAGAATGCGCAGCGGCAGACGGTGGATACGGAAAGTGCGAACCTGACTGCGCGTACTCGGAGGCAGGTCTGTTGTCCATAAAACACAGATCTAGCCGGAACCGGAGAAGTCCCTAATCTTCCTCCAAACTCGCGTGTCTGCTGTTTCTAGACGCGTCGAAAAACACAATGAGCTTTATGGATACAAACACGACTATGTTGTATCGCGATATGAAGAAGGGGAAGGAAAGTGTAGGAGATCGCAATATGATCTTGTGGCGAAGCCTTTCTCTTTTTCCTTTTCTTTCTTCCTTTGTAGAACGTACTTTTCAGTGAATCTGGATGGAAGCAGCTCAATCCAGAAACAGTATCAGCTGACAGGACTCGCGCAGGCGCTATTCACACCCGAGCTGATGATTCGAAGGTGAATGGAAATTGAAAGAAAACAGACAAGATCAAGCGCGTGATCTCGTCGTAAAACCAATGACACCGAGGGGCAGAAGTAATTGACAAACGGGGTTAATAATAGGGATATCAGACGGTGCTGGATTTGAGAGATATGATGCTTGGATCAAGATGATGCTTAATTGCCTTAGTCGCCTTTAGGGTGGATGGAGGATGCCTTGCAGGTGGCGGTAGGCACAGCAGCACGAGGAACCAGCGGGAAGAAAAAAGGAACCGTCGCTTTTAGGCCTGGGGGACGAGGGTTAAGAAAGTAATCCAGGGCCAAGGCCAGTCACAGCACCCACAAGCGAAACGAGGAAATGATTAGATAAAAGGTTTAAGATTGTAAAAAACAAATAAAAATGGACCACCAGGCTCAAAGAGAGATAGCGCGAGAGACGGTCTTGATCGAGTGGCAACCCAGGATATAAACCACCCTAAAATCGAGACGGAGGGAAATTTGGTCGGACTCGACCCGGTAACTAACCTGGGTGGAGAAGGCGACCTAAAAAGGCTTCGGATGAACCAAGTCGCGATTCTTTTCAGCAGCAGTGAAAGGAAAAAAGGACGAAAAGGAAAGAAAGGAAAAGAGATCACAGGTTAAGAGCACCTCGTGCGTTCCGAGGGTGTTGGTGGAGTGCGTGGGGACGTAATCTTTCAGTGGTGAAAAGGAGACGGAGAGGGAGAGGAGAGGAAATATTGAAAAGCCACCGCCCAATAGATGCTCAGGCTTTTTCAGACTTGGAGGCGATAACAGAACCCTCCCAGAGGAACGTAAGAGGGGGGTCAGATGGGATTCTCGCAAATTGCGTTTCTATTCGCCGGTCTTCTTTCCTTTACTTTTCTTTTTCCTTTTTCTTTTTCTCTCTTTCCCTTCTGCTTCGGAACTTGAATCGCCGGAGTGCTGTCGCTTTGTGGTGATGGGTCCGTTACCACTCAGTAATTCCGACCCACTTTTTCCGTGAAATATCAGGGCTCTCCGACGGTAAGAAAAAAATAGCAATTTTTTCCTTTTGATTCTCCAATGGTTTTTTACACCCCTTCCCCTCAGTAGTATCCAATCTAGTCGGTTGGCGGATCTGTGTTTTCGTGTCTTCGAGTAAGCTGTAAGCCTGTACTGTTGTAGGCTCTTTTCCCGGCTAAGCTTTCCTTGTCTGACTTTCTTTTTCACTTTTTCCCTCTCTTTCTCTCGTTTGAGAGCGGAGCTCTCCGCAGGAAAAGTGGCGAGATTAGAATTTTACCGAGGACCCCCTTTTCCTTCTATTGGGTATGGCTCATGTAATTCGCCCACCCGGAATCCTCTCCGCAGTTGTCTGTTGTGGTGTGCCGCGGTGTTGACGAAAATTCAAGATGATGTTGAAAAAAACTTATAGTAGGACGAATTGCTGTTAGAGGCTTAGAGCTTGGATAGTCTAGCCGCGACTTGGGACAGACGGTGCGCGTGTCGAGTACCGGCCGCAGGGAGACTGTCATGAACCTAGCGTGTGCGCCCGTGGAGACCATCCAAGATCACTGGTCGTGGTCAAAGTAGTCAGGACTTTACTTAGAGTAAGGACAGATCGAGGATGGGCTAATATGGCGTGCCCGAGGAACGGCTTGAACGGTCTGGGTAAAGGTCCAAATAGCGCGGCCCTAGTGAAGAAGAGGGTGTAGCGCAGGTCGGGGAAAAGCGAAGAGCGCGTGCAGGTTCCCCTACTCCGTAGTAGAGGATGCTTTGATGGGCAGGAAATAATAACGGAAATGCTCAGAAACAACCAGTGGTTCACCAATGGGTAATGTAATAATTATGACAAATATCTTTGAGCCAAGTTGTCCGCCAGATAAGTGCCTGTGTAAGTAGGACACAGTCCAGAATAATAATAATAATGGAGAAAATTAATAACAAATAGATGTTGTTGTATTCCTTTAGAAAATCAAAACGGCGGCTGATGCCGGTAGTAGGTAGCTTCTTTCTGCTTAGTCTGAGGGACTGTTTACCTAGTTGGCAAGGTCATTATGGATGGGTAGATTGAAGGTGACTGGTGGAAAGGGGGAACGGAAAATAATTATTACCTACCTCCCTATGGGAGTAGCCCGAGGTACCTAGTCATCTCACTTGTGGGGAGTACCTCGAAACACGATGAGCAATTGGCAGAACGCATCCTCTGCTGCTTGACCACAACAGCTTAATCATTAGAGATTTCTCGACGTAGAGATCATATCAATACAAAATATTCATTTGAAAGACCTGGTTTGTGTCATTATTTGTCCGATGCCAGTGATTTTTGAGATTTCATCTATGCCACACTGTGTAACTTGTACATGTTTAAAACCGTATACGTAGAGAGGTACCTACTCCAGAGTCCTCGTCTTGTGCAAGTCAGGAACGCGTCAGTGGGGCCCACCAGGGTAGTAAGCCAATCATCAGCAGTATTTAATCACTCACATAGTAGGGAGAAAGTGACTTGAGGCGCTTTGACTATGGCGTACCGTGTATCCATAGGGAGGGAGAGCAGGAATCGAATCTCGGAATCACCCCATCGCAAAGTACAAGCACACAGTAAACTATAAAGACGTAATTTAAGGATGCCGACCTACCTAGAAGAGCAAGCGAAAGATCAATCATGGATCAAAGGTTGCTTAGGTACCTTAGGTAACCTTGAAGTGGTGTGTTGGGGGGATTGATCATTTGTCGCGTCGTTGGATCCAACACTGAAGTTGGGGGTATGGAGCACACAATACACAATAATACAGTAAACAAGTTGTGGTACTTTTGTCGTGTCAATTCCTCGTTAACATCATGGAGCGCTTGTATCTATGTGTAGTTTGGGCACTCGATGATACTGGCTAGAAAGTGCCATACAACCTAATTACGGCAAGAAATGCTACGGGGTAGCATAATCAAACATGTGATCAATAATGATATCGCAAAAACAGGGGAAAGTGGCAGCACCATATGTTGGTAATGGGATAGGGACGGAGTGGTCAATGTTATTGTTGTGATTTTTTACAAAGATGCTAAACTCCAAGCAGGATACCGGCAGTACTCCGGTAAAATTAGGGGGTTACTCGTATAAATCTGACCCTGCACTTTCCAGCATGATCATAAAACTAAGATCCATTATCATTACGATAGTGCCAGAAATTATCATCAGCTTGTCTGCTAACAAAAGGGGGACTAATGTGAGGTCAACCATGCATGTTGAAGGGGAAGAGAAAGCTACCTAAGGAATGCAAGAATCATGCAAGGCTCCAACCTCGGAAAGGCTTTAGCCTGGGCAGGCCTGGGTCCCTAATTGCGGCTCGAATTGATTGGTGCTCTGACCTGATCATACCCCGCGCGGGTGGAGCCCAAAACACCCTCGCCCACTAATGCCTCCCGGTGAAGAGAACAGGCCAGCGGGGAAGCAACTTGAGAAATCAAAAGGGAAAAAAGAAGCACCAGCCATGCTTGTTGCTTAAGTGTTCAACCTCATACCATGATGACTTCTTCCTTATCTGGAGTGACATTAGATGAGCTGTAGAGTGATTGCCAGTGTTCTGTAGGGTGTGCACTAGACTCCTTAAGGTGATATTGTAGAAGTTAATGTTATTATAAGAGCTCTACTTAATTTGTTGAGTAGATATACTCCCGTACCTGCTCTATCATTATTATGATATGACTGAAGTACTAACCCAGAAGAGTGTGATATCAATATCCCGTCATACTCCCCAAGTCCCAATGTCGCAATAACAGGCTTCTGGTCCATATCTTAACCCATCCACTGGGAACGATTTCTGTGCATTTGATGTTGGCGGTGTCGTTGCTCCCCCGCTTATATCTATTTCCTGGCCGTTATCCGGGCTGTTGTTCGGAAGAAAGCATGGATCAGGTGGATGATGACAACACGACAAGGTAGGTATTACAACGACCTGGATTTTATCTTGCCTCCATACGATGGGTTAGATAATACTTTCATTATTTATCACGTCTAGACTTGTGTTACGATCCATATCTTACAGAGAACCATAGTGTTTCGGATGCTGGCCGATTACCGTCGCCTTTTATTGGATCGCTGTCGATCGGTTAGACAACCGTCCTTAAATCACTAATCCGTACGCCAACTGGAAAGAAACTGGCCACTACCGAGGGATACATAGGCCTCGAAGGGTGGTGTTGTACGAGAGCTTCGAGCTTCGAGCTTCGAACTTCAAGTAACCATCCAAAATCTCTGGACACTACAGGGTCTTTTTACATGATCATCACGTCCACAGTAAGTTGGTTCGCTTTGAGCACTTGGTACTCCGTGCCGACTCCGTAGATGTTCACTTCATACCTGCTTTGCATTTTTGGAGACCAACTGGAACACTGGGGCCAAATACTCAGTATGACCCACACCATTGACAGCACAGTAGTCCGTAAGAAGCTATCTTAATCTGTGGGCTTCGTCTCTGTCCGAGATTATGATATTACTAATTCTTCCTTTCTCCCGCTTTTACTGCAGCATCATGCAAAGAATAGGGGTAAAGACTCGTCAACCGCATTCGTCAAAGCACTTCCTGTGATTATAATTCTTGTCAATGGATCATTTTATATTGACTCATTTTACTCCGCACCTTCTCCTCTATGATTGATATTCATTTGCATCTATACAGGCGTTAATGAGCCATTGTACCATTATTTATGCGGCTAGTGCGCTGTCACGCTATAATTATCACCATGTCGGAACTAGTCAATAATACTCGGCTCCACGTGGGTAACAAAGCACCATCCGTAGGGGCTGCAAAGTTCCATACACAGTATCTACGGAGTACCTTACCTACTCCGTTGTATCTGTTGTTTCAGTATGGCATTGATATTTAATTTCTGTGTATGCTACCTTAACCCTCCTGCGTGATATTTGCACTTTATTCAGAGCTGCATTTCCGACCTCCTCTGCCTGATCTCGATAAGTCAGGCAGTACCAACAGCGTACAGGTATCTGGAGTTACTATTGTTAGCATCCGTGACCGTACCATGTTCACGATGTTCCAGATAGAAAGTATTGCAGATTATTTTCCGAAGGCCTAGGATCCTGTGGCCTATAGCTGCTGAGGTGGTCAGCCTCAAACCTAAATACACTTTGGGCTATGTAACTATAAACATCGCTTAGAAATGCTTTAAACTTAAGCAACCTGTCTTACAGGGTGAGAAAAGGTTACACTACTGAAACAAAGTGTTGGTTAGTCGGTGCGAGCTCTTGTCCGATATGTGGGGAGCGAGATGGGGTCATAATTATGGTTATTATTGTTGGTTCATTTCGCAGAAGAGCGGTCTTGAACTTGAATCCAAACTCAAATCAAAACTCAAAACTCAGGAGCCAAAGAAGTAGATCGGCGCCGGCCAGGACCAGCACGCACCTCAGGTATCATAAGGTACTCTTTTACAAATATCTGAATGGTGTACTCAAATTGATGATTCGGATAGTCGGCTATCTGATAATCAATTTGCCTTCAAACAGTGACTCGTCATCCATGAGGATACTTCCCTTGTATTAGACATCCGGCTGCTGCTATGTGAAACTTGCCAACTGAGCCATCTAGAGTACCAATTACCGTATGGGGTAGTATCAGGTAATTCCATACTCGCGGACTCCAATTGACTTTGATCGTAAGAAACATCCGAGGTTCCCAGGTTAGGTACATGAGATCATGAATTTTAATTATGCAAACAGGAAGCATACCTTGACTGCTCTACAACTCCACGACCACGGTCGATTGAAAGCCGTCGGGTATTAATAGCGATATTATGATAGCACGGACAGTGTGCCAAGACAGCAAGTATCCACATTGTAGAATTCAAGATTATCCGTAAGTAACCTCCAAGCTCACTAAATCAAATGACAAATCCTAGATTCAAATTTAAGTGTATATTTGCGGATCCGCTATGGCAGTTTGGTCTGCTGACTAGGGAGGATTCGCCTATCTTAAAGAGGAGATTAGTACGGAGTACGTACTTGTTTAATTGTTTTACAACCCCGGCGGAGGAAGGTCCATATCTCCGAGTCTCCGACTTCGTGGTCCACCCATACACCAGCAGGAGGTGGCCTGAATCATGTTGGTATCTTGGTAAGTTTGTGTTGAGTACGGAGCCTGTCTCCCTTTCAGGTACCCCGAAGCAATCGGTTCTCCGCGGATGTCTCAATAAATTGAGGCCTGTCTTTTCAAATTTTACAAAGCTGGCCTCTTTATGACCATCTGCATGGCAAATACATAAGGAGGACAATAGACGACAAGGCACTGTAGCTGCACACTAAGGTCCCATTTTAATAGTTGAGGTGCCAGTGACTCATTGTACATGTTCTGTGCATGATCTACGGCAGCTCTAGGAATTTAGGAACTAAGAAGTCAAGCCAGGATAGTCAAGGGATGGTGGCAGCTGCATCCTTTACTTCTTTTGGTAGAGTATGACAACTTTGTTTCTACCTCAGTGCCTACCCAACTACCTGACTAGTGGCTATTATCAGTCTTAACCATGCACAGACGATGAGGTTTGGATGCCGAATCCCTGACCCTGGTTGATGACTTGACTAAGGTAACTCCGTATCCAAGATTCCAACATACACACCGTATTAATATAACAATAGGAAATAATAATATTACCCATTTATCAAATTACCAAGAAGATTGCTTCCGATATCCGCGCTTTGGGACCTCCCCGATTTAGACTCATTTGCATCCACTTTAACCAAATATTAATATTATTGATAATTCGATATACGGTCTTCGGACTGGCCTTGGACTGGCCCCACCCTGAACCAGTTCAAAATACGGCCTAAGCCCTTTTTGTCTCGCAGCATATGCCTAAAGCTGCTTTTGCTTGGGAGGCCGTCATTCGTTGCAAGTCGGTGTGTCGAGGAAGCAGGAACAGAATGATAAGGTGGAATTGAGCATCTAGCACGTCGTACCTGCAAGTAGATTGGATAAAATCTCTCATAGTCGCTGGGAGGAATACAAGAAGAAATCGCTAAGACAATTTGTTATGATTTTACGGGAAGACCGGTCTATGAGCTTGATGATAATAATACACCTGTTATATGTCTTGAGGGTGAACGGAGTATGAACGCAGCAAGAGCCCAGGGCATGAAGCTCCCTCCCTGTGGACCTCAGAGGCTCGGCCGTGGAGTGCTGAGTCAGAATATCCACATGCGCCATATCAGTAGGCCCACAAGGTACAGACTAGCATTCCTATGTTGCGGATATACTGTGGTTAGCTAAAACAACTAGCGCCCAATCATATCTTGGGTTAAGTTGGTTGACCTTGTGCAAGGCACAAAGGAAGGACTCTGCCTTCTGGCGCAACACTATCAAAGTGGAAAGCTTTGCCAGTTGGTGACTCGAACAGCTTGAATGCTCCAGCAGCGGCATGCTGTCGTTATGTCATGCTGCTATGCACAAGCTGACTGCCACGACATGCCTGGACGATCAATTGACAAGATGACTATCTTCCCCGAGTACCAACTATGTACAAACCACTGCCGTGCGAGCCCACCGTCTAGGCATAGCCTTTTGGAGCTGGGAGAACCGCGGGAGGCCCCGCAGGAGAGTTGAGCCTCAGGCTTCAATCCAGTGCGAGGATGGCTTGGCCACCTAGTTAATCGTCACTGAATCATTTGACATGTCAATTATTCGGGACGGAATCTGAGCATCGAGTCTCTGTGTTCGAAATGACCATCAGAAACTATCTATAATATGGGATGAGGCGATGACTGGGTCAATCCGCGCGAAAATAGGCAACGTTATACCAAAATATATATTCGTGTATTCGTCACCAGAGGCGACAGATAGCTGGGATATAAACCCGCATCGATCCCTGCCTCCCCAGAGATTGACTTGAAGACGCCAGGAATGGGATAAGCTCCTGGCTTTTTGGACATAGACCAAACTATCTGCACCTGCCATCCAATACCATCGATTGACTCCGGAGAAATATCGTCCGTCGAGCTACGGGAACATGGACTATTTTCCCGCATATGCAATCGATATTTGCGGGGTTGAGGACATTGATATCAAGGTGTCAATCCTGGTCTGGGGTAAACCGGTCTCTGAAATGGCATATTCATCAGATCAAAAGACCTCAAATATTTCACTTTGATGTGACGGGAGACAATTGCGGCGAACATGATTGCTGTAGCAAGGAATCTGGCTCTCACCGCCATCGCCTCTGTGGCAGCAGCGCTTCCTGCGCAGCTGAGTTGCAAGGACGCGTTTGACTGGGATGCCACCAGACATCTGTCGGTTCTTTATAATCCTACGCCTGTACCTTTGAAGAAGACTGTCACTGACGCACATCCCGCAGACTCGCCTTTGGAGACTCATATACATACGTCCAAGGAACAAATGGCCATCAGAACTACAGCTTCATCGGCGACCAACTGAACTTCGCATACGATAGGCAGACGCTTCTGACGAACAAGATTGTTCAGAACCAGGTTCGCTCCTCCGCAGCGCTTGCGAAGTCTCCTGGCTGCCAAAGATACCATGATCGCTGACAGTGTCACGCTCCTGCTAGACCGCCACGGCCGAGGGAGGCCCCAACTGGGTCGAGTTCCTAACAAACTGCAGCGTCAAGAAAGGATCGACCTCACCACTGAGCTGTAAGAAGCAGCTCTGGGACTTTGCCTTTGCTGGAGCAGACATCTCCGTTGAATAGTATGTGGCCCTTATGCAAGGCTTCGCGCCGCTCATCTTAACTCTTCCACAGCACGTCCCTACACCACAACTACACCGTCTCCCTCGTCAACCAAGTGACACAGTACGAGCAATACGGCCACCCCGTGCTCAAGAACATCATCCACCCATCCTGCACCCTCGTCGCCATCTGGATCGGCATCAACGACATCAGCGACTCCGCCAAGTACGCTGTACACTTCCCCACTTTCTACAACCGCATGATGACAACGCTCTTCGCCTCCATCCAGACCCTATACGACCTAGGCTATCGCTCCTATCTCTTCATGAACCTGGCCCCTCTGGACCGCACTCCAGCTAATCAAGCACGGAGCGATCCCTCCCCCAACGGAACCCAAATAACCTGGTTCAACGACGCGTTGGCCGAGCACGCGCAAAGCTTCGAAAGAGCCCACGCCGACACCACTGTCCACGTCTTCGACGCCCGTACAGCGCTCAGCAACATGATGGACCACCCGGCGCGGTATGGCATCGTCAACACGACGAATTTCTGCGCGGGGTACGACCAGCCGGACATCGAGACGGATTACCAGGCGTATGGGTGTCCTACGCCGCTGGATACGTACTTTTGGTTCAACTCAGGTCATCTGACGAGCCATGTCCATAAGAAACTCGCGGAGATTCTAGAGGAGCAGTTGAAGGCGTGGTCGAGGTGATTTGTCGGCTTTTGGTGGATGATTCGTAGAAGATTCTTAGAGTTGATGCCGTGATATGGGTACGAATTGTACTCTTGGAGAAGACTTGATTTTTCAGAAGTCGCTGGTTGAAGAGAATATGAGTTGTAGGCCCTCTATAGCCCACATTACTGGGCTCACTCTTGGATGCATCGATGGATCACTCATACTGGCAAGACGAGTACAGGCTCAAACTGAACTACATGCAATGTTTGAAGCTTGTTAATATGCCCTGAAAATAGTGGCTCCTGCATATTACCATTCATATTATCCGCAGGAGTGCACTGAATAAGGACAAGGATAGTCAACTCCGGTTGGCAACACCCAGCAAAGTACAGATATGATATGCATAGGTCTTAATGGACACAGAGCATTTTACTGTGGAGAACAAGGACGATTGTTCCTCTGCAACTTAGTCACTAAAAAACATTGAATATTGATGCGAATGCAAACTAATTGCACTAAGACCATTGAACGAGCGAATGGCCCTAAGTTAACAACTTTTGAGATCAGAATTAAGATGCATGAATAGGATCTGCAAAATTAGACAATTCCAGCAGCGGCGAGCCTCTGCGGCCGATTTCAAAGCTCGACAGCGAGCGTTTGTAAAAGCAAAACCATAACTTGATAAAGGAACAAGGTCTATCGTGTCATCGAAAAACGCCTTCCGTACCGAATTACGAAGAAAAACCCCGAGGGAACCATGAAAAAGCAAAGTCTACCGGTGACGATGGGTTACAAGCTCAACGACGAGACTGGACGTCGAGGTCAAGATCAGTCAGTTTACCAATGGCGAGCGTTGCCAAGAGGGGCAGCGTTCGAAGCGGTATAGCTACCACCACGACCACGACCACCACCGCGGCCACCACCCCAGCGGCCGTAACCGCCGCGACCGTGGCCGCCGCCACCGCTGTAGCGAACCATCTCAGCGAGACGGGGGTCAATCTGCTGCTTGGCCTCAGTGAGGATAGTAACCAAGTCACGAGCCTGCTTAGAGTCTGCATTGAAAAAAAAGTTGTTAGTCATGACAATTAGTGAAACATGCGGTCGTAAAGAAAAACTTACTTTCAGTGGTGAAGAAGGTAATGGCAGTTCCCTTCGCACCAGCACGACCAGTTCGACCAATACGGTGAATGTAGTCCTCCGAGTTGTTGGGATAGTCATAGTTCAGCACATGAGTGATGTCGCGAACATCTTAAAACAGATTTAGGTTAGCAAACAGAGCATTAGTCAAATAGCAACGAGGCCTAGGCGCCCTTTTGAGTCATGTGAGACTTGATGCATCACTCTCTCACGGACTCTGTGGTCGAAATCCGTTTGTGAGCAGAGTCCATCGCCTGGCACAAGATCGCGGTCCTAGAGTAACCTTGGAATGCAGCTTCAACAAGTCGAAGGGAGAGAAAACCCATCTCTCGACCAGCAAGGTTCAAGAATAGAGATGGAAAACTCAGAACAGAGAGTACGAATCAATCTGCTACACTGCACTGTAAGTCCAAGGTCCTCATGGTATGAGCACCATTTTCAAGAGACCCGACAAAGCCTGGACGAGCCATGTTATACCAACATGGTCTCTTTTAGAAGAGAGTCAAGCACCGTGCCATTGTCACACGACGTCAATGTGGGTGAGGGTGCTTAGGGAGGAGAATAGGGAGGGGAGGGGGGAAAGTTGCGATTCAATCATACCAATACCACGGGAAGCCACATCAGTGGCCACCATGATTGGGCTCTTGCCCGCCTTGAATTCGTTCAAGACCCAATCTCTTTCTTGTTGCTGCTTGTCGCCGTGGATAGCTGGGCTCGTTGTTAGCAAGAGCACTGGGAAATGAGGAATGATTTAGAAGACTTACAAAGTGCGGGCCATCCGTCCTGGCGGAGGAAGCGAGTGATCTCATCAGCAATGCGCTTAGTGCCGGTGAAAATGAGACACTTGTTGCTACGGTTTTCCATGATTTTCTCGAGGTGCTTGATCATTTTGTCGCGCTTCTCAAAGTCGGAAACGACCTCGACAATTTGAGTAATTCGGTGGTTAGCAGACAAGTCCATGGAACCGATGTTCACCTGGATGTAGTCGTTCAGGAAGTCAGTAGCGAGCTGGCGGACTTCCTTGGGCCAAGTGGCGGACCACATGCAGGTCTGTCTGTCAGGACGAATCTGAGAAATGATCTTGCGAATTTGAGGTTCGAAACCCATGTCCAGCATGCGATCAGCTTCGTCAAGAACGAGGTAAGTGACACGGCGGAGGTTGGTCCGGCCAGCTTCCAGCATGTCGATCAGACGGCCAGGGGTTGCAATGCAGACTTCGACACCGCGGCTCAGATCACGGATCTGAGGACCCTTGGGAACACCACCATAGACGCAAGTGTTGCGAATCCGGGAGGACTTTCCGAACTTGCTAATTTCGGTCTGGATCTGAACAGCAAGCTCACGAGTAGGAGCGAGGATGAGGACAATGGGACCATCGCCAGGAGCGAGGAGAGGCTGAGCGTTGATGTGAACAATAGCAGGGAGACAGTAGGTGAGAGTCTTTCCGGAACCAGTCTCGGCGATACCGACGACATCGCGACCAGAAAGCGCCATAGGCCAACCCTGAGACTGGATGGCAGTGGGACGCTCGAAGCCTTGAGCCTTGACCTCACTCAGGACGTATTGGGGGAACCCGGCCTCGTCGAAATTCTCGACGGGACGAGGCACGTTGCGTCCCTGCACAGTCATCTCGTGCTTCTTGCGGAATTCGTCAACCTCGCGCTCAGAGCGAGCGGAAACATCGGGATGCTCCTTATAGAATGACTTTTCGAACTTGGGGAGAGTGTCCAAATCTAGTGATAGCAAGTCAGCACCAAAGTCAGAACGGGAATCCAAGTTAATCAACTTACCCCAGTCTTGCTTCTTCAAGCCAGCGCCCAGGTTCGACATGCGGTCACCACCAGCGGCTCCTCCACCGCGACCATAGCCACCGCCATAGCCACCGCCGTAGCCACCACCGCCAGAGTAGCCGTTGCCATTTTGATAACCGCCACCGTGACCACCTCTAGAGCTGTATGCATTTGTTAGTTATTGCACTGATGACAGATGTGTGAAATATCAAGATTTCCAGAGATAACTCAAGCCATAATCGATGCCCGACTAGGTACGATGTGTTGCAGGCTATTATTGTGCAGAACGCTAGCATAGCAACGTTGAGTTGGCCACAGGCGAGGGAGAGAGATTCACAGCACGTAGTACTCAACCCAGGCCAAGGCGATACATTTCAACAACGCATCACTTGCGATATCTCCGGAATCTGAGAGATTTCTGTCTCAAAAATGATGAAACTTACCGATAAGAATCGCCGCGCGACTCGCGCTGATAACCGCCACCGTAAGAAGACATGGCGTAGTTTTGTGTTATTTTGATGAGAAACTGAAAACGACGGGAAGTCACAAGAAGTAGACTGTGAAGTACCTAAAGTAGGTAACAAGACTACTGAGAGAGAGATGAAGACAGAATAGTCTCCGATTCAGATGAAAAAGAGAGAGGTAAGGGGATAAAAAGAGAGAGAGAGAGAGAGATGGGCGAGGAGGGAAGAAAAAAGATCTCAGCGGCAAGAAAAAGTGGAAATGAGCGATTCAAAAGGAAGAGGAAGCGGCGAATAAGGGACTTTCCTGCTGTGGTTAGCGTGGGCTAGACTTTTCCTTTACCGCCTTTTTTGCCACGCTATCACGTGAGAGATACGCCTCCGTGTTACCTTGGGTCATCATCACAAAGATCTTGGCTAATGCTACAATTTCCGCTTGCTTTAGCAAAGCTACTTCGCAAACCCCGGTAACGAGTACCTAGAATCAGGAGTGGCATTTTTCCGTTTATGATTGGAGGAGCTCAATAATTTCTTCTGACCGGATATTGTCGCACAGTCCAATGCAGTCATGCAGTCCAACTTATTGTGTCCTTGATGCTGGTATCTGCCCCTTGGCTAATCAGATAGTCCACTGCATCTATCTTGCCTAGATCTGCTGCTTTGTGTAGAGCGGTGCCAAGGCCCATGAAGTAATATAGTCCCCATGAAAAATAATGAGTCTCGTACATATTCGAGTTCAACGCCTCACTCCTTTCAAGAAGCATGGCTAGCACATCAACGACATCCTGTTGGTCAATAGCATGATGGAGTAGTTGACCCTTGCGGACATGTCCTCCGCGGTCTAGCAGAAGCTTGATGGCATGAAGCGCGGAGCACGGTCAATGGCATAAGAATGGCGCGAGGTAAATTGAACATCGTCAGTTTGGGTCTGCTCCATGGTTTAGAAGCTAGATGGTCGTCTCATCGTCTTCAATAGCATAGTAGGGACAATGGTGAATGAGCGACTAAGATTGCGAGGTACAGCAACTTACTCAAGCGCTGGAGGCTTCAGCTCGCTTATAGGCTCGTTGATGTCCCATTTATTTTGCAGGAAGATGTTGAGCGTGTTCTTTGACGTATGCTTTATTGCCTCTAAAGCATAACCTTGGTGCTGCATTGGCAACCCGCAACGTAATAGTTCGGAGGCAATTTCTGTGTAGTCTTGTTTCAAAGCTTCTAGCACCACTGTCAAAAATAACATATGTTGTATTTATCGTAGCTAGAGGCCCATGAGTCCAATGTCATTTAAATCTCTGGAAGTCTTTGGTGATGCAAGCAGCCTTCATTCTTCGATTATCTCTGTTGGCGTATTACGCGTGATATGAGGCAGGCAGGAAACATGTTGTTCCAGTGATGGGAGGATAGACAGCCCGGATAGAAGAGAAGCTGAAATGTAAGAATAATATCCTAGTTGATCGTTGTCTGCGCCTGGAGGTTTCCAGAGGCTGCTGGAGTTGGGGCCGCCATATATATGATCTGATTATCCAGGCAAAGGATGATCCCATTAACCAGAGGTCATGTGGGTGTTACCAGCCATTGGCACCAGAGACCTCCTGCTCAGTCGTGGTGATCACATATGTGAACAGGAGCATGAGACGGTTAAACCATG